ACTCCTTTGACTGTGATACCAAATGCAAATTCACAAGTGTTTATACAGCAGATCTGAGTATGTGTTAGAAATCAGCAATTGAAAATCTATTTTGCTTACCTTGTCACCAATAATGGGATTACAGCACTAAAAAAATACACTTTTCCTTCTGGATACACTAAGTAGAACAGTTCTGTCTCCAGAGAGAGTGGAACTCAATTTCCCTTCCTCTTGGTTCTTGGAGGAATTTAATGTCTTTTCCTCTCAGTGCTTGATGTGTCACTGACAGTCCCCCCAAAAACAGCTCCAGCTGCCCCCATGGCCACCTCTGGAATCCTCATGATTTATAAACCTTTAACAGCAAGGAACAAATTCCTAAGAAACAGCAGCAGCAGAGTGCAACCAAACTTTTCACTGAAGCTGTCTGAGCACAGTGATCTTCACCCAACAAGGTTCCCTGGGATGCTCAACTCCTGAGCTGCACATTGTGGCTCTGTGCTGCCAGGGAAAGCCTTTGTGATCTTCACATGGTGATAAGCAGCACTGCCAGGTGGGAGAGAGAGGGAAGAGATAAAACCCTTTATCAAATAATCACAGCCTCACCTTTTATCAATTAATCACAGACTCAGATAGCGCCCAGGTGTGGCAGTGCTGCCCAAATTCACAGCCTTGCACCTCAGATGCTGCTGAGCTCCACTCCTGACCCTTCAATGAACATTAAAGGGATGAACTTGCCCAAATCTGGCAAAAACCATTGTGAGGATGCCAAGCTAGACTGGGGCAGAGATGCCAGTGACCAGCAAGGAGTCAGTGCTGTGCTGTCCCCTCACTGCAGGAGTGCTTGCTGTGACACTGTGCTGCCCCAGCCCCTGCTGCTCCCCCAGCTGGATGGAACAAGGAGAACAAGGTGCAAAATCAGGAGTCAGGGAGAAAATGCTCAGGAAATCCAGCAAGCAAACCTAGGGGGAAGCATCCTGCATTGTCTGTGTCACAGCCAGGAGAGGCACAGAGAAACCAGGGACAGCCCCTCCACAGACATCTCCAGGTGAGCCAAACCTCCTCCTCTGCCTTGGAGACAGCAGCACTGAGGAGTTTTGTAGCAAAATTCAAGCTTGTGTTACAGCATGAGGAAAAAATTGTTTTGTCTCAGGCTCAAAGGAGCAAATTTAGCATTGCCCAACGCCTTGTTCAGTTTAGAGGGCCAAACCCTTGGGATTGAGCATCTGTAAGAAGTGAAGCCTGTGGTGGTACAAAATTCACTCCAGGGCTAAGTGAAGAAGAGGGAAAAAGAACAGTAGGTTGTAGCCAAGGTTAGTGAATTCTTCATCATAAATTAAATTTATGCAGCATATTAAACTTCAGTCTTTGAAGGGTGTTTTTATCCTTTCACGCTGTTCTAAAATGACATCTAACAAAAGGAATGAGGACAAAGATGGATTTAAAAGAGAACTGGGCAGATTTAGGACCAACATTCTCCCATGTAAGAATTCTTTAAGAGAAGCCAAATGACCCAGGAGCATCTTTTCCGTCCTGTTTTCATGCACCAAGGCTGCTGCTAGGGAACCCCATTCCCTTTCTAAAGCCACATCAGGCCAGATGTGCATGAGGAAAAGCAGGAGAGTGAACAGTGCCCATGCTCAGGATGAGCTCAGGGAGCTCCCAGCACTCTGTGCCTGCAGTGCTTCCCCAGGAGGGCAGTCCTGGGGGAGGATGAGCCAGGCTGAGCAGGGCAAAGCAAGAAACTCAGGCACAACTGCCAGGGCCTCCTCCAAGGGCAAGGGATAATCACTGCTCTGCCCAATCCCCTTATTGCCATTACATCACTCCAGTCTGAAGGGGAAATCAAATAAATGTAGTGATCTAAAGCTCAGATCTGTGGCAAGTTTGTCTGGAGAACCTTCCTTCCCTTCCCCACCCAAGTGAGGGAGGCAGAGCCTCTGGAAAATGAGGAGGCAACACCTGCAGAACAAACAAAGTGCCCTGGACACACAGTGTGAGATCTGAACAGCACATTATTAAAAGGAGCACTTTGGGGGAGATGTAGATAAAATAATGTTTAATCCAGACTGACACTATCTGCTGGTGCTTGTGATGGTGCTCACAGGGGTCCCAGGATGAGGGAAGAGATGAGGATTTGACTCCATGTTTCAGAAGGCTGATTTATTATTTTATGATATATATTATATAAAAATTATACTAAAGTATAAGAAGAAAGGATTTCATCAGAAGACCAGGAATAGAAAAAGAATGGAATGATAACAAAAGTTTGTGTCTCAGACAGTCTGAGCTACGTGACTGTGATTGGCCATTAATTAGAAACAACCACACGAGACCAATCAAAGATGCACCTGTTGCATTCCACAGCAGCAGATAATCGTTATTTATATTTTGTTTTTGAGGCTTCTAAGCTTCTTAGGAGAAAAGATCTTAAGGAAAGGATTTTTCAGAAAATGTGTCTGTGACAGGTGCTGGCTGGAGCCAGGGAAGGTCTGACACCAGGACACAGAGGTTTCATACTCACCACTTCCCCTCAGCTCAAGGTAAACCTTGCTCTGAGCTGGGCACCTCTCACACACCTGGACACAAATCTGGGGATCAGGATTAAAGCTTCCAGCCAAAACCAAGCCAGCCTAAGCTTTTCTTCACTTCCTTACAGGCTGAGGAAAATCAAAACAAGTGATTAAGACGGTTCTTTGCTTCATTAACAAATATACAAAGTTTTATTTTGTTTATTAGATTGGTTTTCTGTATGTTAACATTATCATAGCAGTTATAACCCACATTCACAGCAGAAATTTTCTAAGAGCATTTTGCAACACTAACTGCTGTATCAGAAATCCTTAAGAGAAACTTATCTTTTAGCTACTCAGGTAACTTGAATAATAAAGTGCAAAACCACAATAAAATTTGACAGACATATGTCCCAGCTCATATTCAGTGGAAAAGAAAGGTTTATAAGACCACTAGATATGGATTCACTGCACACAACAGAAGAGTGTGACCTGAAGACACCAGTTTTCAAGTTTTCCCATTACCAGACATGGATTACAATGAATAACTTTCCATTAGTTTTAAGGGTAACATAGAGAAATCACAATGAAGTTATAAATAAAACAGAACACATTGGCCAGACAACCTGAAGCTTAGCCCTGTATTTGGTACCTTTTACCCAATAAAGGTTTTGGGAAGAACTGATGAACAGGAACAGCTCATTTCTTGATGAAGTAGCCTCTGATTTGACAAGGAACCAACTGGCAGGACACAACACAGCAGCTTGTGTGGGACACAGGTCATAGGTGGATTTTTTATATGTGTTTTTTACCACCTAGACATGGTCTCATTCAACTTATGATTGCCAGCACTAATTACTGTCCTGCTCAATTCAAGAAAACAGAGAAAACTCAGAATATTATGGGAATCAGGTCCAATTCATAAACCACAACTCAACCTTTTGTGTTTCTCTCTCTCCACAGCCACTGCTGCAGCCTCTCTTTAGCAAACTCTCTTTCCAGGACAGATCAAGTATCACAAACTCCAGGGGCCTTTCCCTTCCTTCTCCCTGACTCCTGGATCTTCAGGAAGCCCTCTGGAGCTATGACTTAACTGAGAATCACCCACAAGGAGACCACTCAACCCTTTTAGTTACAGAATGCAAAGATGCAAATTAAACATCACTCCAATTCCGTCAGCTCCAACACTGCTGTTCTTCTACCACTTGCCAGAAATGACAGTTCAGCAGGCCAAGCTTTAAGAAATACCAGAAAGTTTGAACTATAAATTGATTCTGCATCCCTTGACTAAGCTCACTTTGCTAAGGACACAAGACACCACTGTCAGAACAGAGAACAGGCTGACCAGCAAGCTTTAAGGACCACGTCCTGCTCATAGCTCTATGTGTAACCAAAAATTGCACAACATACATTCCCAAAGAACTCATTTTTACACAATACTCTCCTTCACATGGTTCTATTTGACTACAGTCAGTGCTCTCATCAGGAAACAATTCCATGCACAAATAGACAGCAGAACATCCAGTGCTATTTGGGAGGCTGCACTTTGCATTTCCCCCCTCTTTGATCCTTTCAGATCAGCAGATGCAGGGACCCAGCTGTTGTACCTGGGATAAGGCACTTGCCCCAGATGAGCAGCACAGCACCAGGCCAGCGTGCCAGACAATCTGCAGGGACCTTTTCTTCACCACCTACAGCCAAACAAGGAATAGTTCTGGAGCAATTGTGCTCTTTCAGCCTGGAGTGCTCCTCCTGCAACAGCTTTCAGAAGCTGTTTCACATTCTCCCCTAAACTCCCTAGTAATGGCCACGGATTTTGCAAACTTCCAGAGGTTTATTCTATTTCCAAATCAGCACTTCCAAGGGATTCGTCAGAACTTGTGGAACATCACCAGGAAATCACAAAGGGAAAATTTCCACCTGTCCAGCAGCAGCTCTTAACCACCTACACAGCCAAGGTTTGTCAGTCGAGGTCTCACATGATTTCAATTCCCTGAAAAAACAAAGTTGCCTTATGGCATGCATAGTATAGATATCACTAGTGCTACCTGGAAGAGTTCTAGCTCCAATCCTCCTCCCTCCCAAAGGGGACAAATTCAAACCCACTTATCTGAAGAGTTTTAAATTCAATTTTTCCTGCATATATTTCAAATAAACCTGTGCTCCAAACCTTGGAATAGCCTAGGAGTAAAAAAGCCTGTTAACTCGCCACTAACAGAAGACTAAGAGAGAAGTGAGATCTAGTTTCTATCAAAAACAAAAGCACATCTCACTTCTGGGTTAATTTATTACTTTCTCAAAGACATTTTAATATAATTATTCTGATATTCTGGTCTAGACAACAGCCAAAATCTCAGTTTTAAGGAAAACCCCTCATTTTACACTGATTTGAACTCCCGGTAGCTTTAAGCACCCAAATAATTTTAATTTCTTTTTCTATTGAATGAATGTTCTGCAGTTCTAGAAAGATGAGTTATGCACTTTTGTTCACATACAAAAAGACAGTCTAACAGATGTAAACTATTTATTGAATATTTGCCACCAATATTGTTAAATACATAATCTTGCAGTTTTCCGCTTTCAAGTTAAAATGTCAGAAACAGAACACCAAATATTTACAATTCTTGTAAGGAATGTTACATAATGACACATTAAGGCGTAAATTCTTTTGGCTTATAATTCTGAAAAGAATGATAATAGCAAAAAGTGATGCAAAATCTTTCTTGTGAGATTATGATTAAGCTACAATGTTTTACAAAAATATGGTGTAAGATGGCAATAATCCCATTCAAAATCCTGCATTAGGCCCCTCGAGAGGGGCTGATAATTTATACAGTCAAAACTTTTAAAATTTACATATAAAGGTACCCTATCCACCATTGAAAAGTACAACTCTCAACATATACAGTTTTCAGGCCACAGTTTTGAAGGTCTGGAGTATCAAGTTGGTTTGATGAATTAGTCGGTTGGCACTTATGAACACATTTATTGCCCTGTGGAAAGAGAAGAATATTGCTTCAGACACTCCAGAAACATGGCAGGGAGAAAGCCAGAATCACTGGCAGCTAGCACTGGAGAACTGGAAGCACAGGGATGTTCCTGTGCTGACCTACCTGAAGCTCCCTGCTGGCAGCCAGCCAGCCTCATTTGCATGGCTAATCCCAGGAAGACTCTTGATTTGGCAGGAATTTAAAAAGAATTTGGCTCTCTATCATCAGTGACATCTCAATCCTTTCCTTCTGGGACTCAGATAACCAAGGGAAAACCATGGAGCAGATGACTGGGGTTTGGAGCCAGATGATCTTTAAGGTCACAGCCATTTTCTGACTCTGACTGTTAAACACCTTCCCAAAGCTGAGCTCTTCACCCCTCAGGAATTCCAGAATTGGCAACTCTTCCCTCAGGGAATACTAAACGTGCCCACATGTGACAGCAAGGCTATTTTAGTTACCTTTCTGCACAGAAAGGTGTGGGGTCACAGAAGTTTTCAGCTCAGCAATGACGTCTGAGCAGGGCTGGGGGCAGCAGGGATCTCACCCCATGTGCAGCTCAGACAGAAATTCCTCCTGGCTTCCCAAGGATGGCAAATACAGCATGGAATTTCTCACACTACTGCAAATTATTAACACACTTTAAGCTTAAGCTCACACAGTACTTCTGTCCATGAATCAAAGCTACCAAAGTCTAAACTTCTCATTTTGGTATCAAATTTAGCCCAAATTTCAGGAAAAGGAGAGAAAAACAAGAATGCTTTGATGGGAGCAGGACTGTACTCCCAGCTGGTCTCAAGACTTTTCTCTCCTTTATAATGCACCATCTCCTGGGTGCTCTCAGCCTTTGCCAAACTCAACAAGAGCTGACATCAAAGTTGGTTCCATCTTTAAAACAGAACATTCTGGCACTGTCAGAATCTGAGGGGGATCCATTCATCCTCCAAAAGAATCACTACAGTGAATTATACAGGAATAGTGACTGCAAAACCCAAGGTGAAGGCCTGGAAAAAGCCTCAGTTTGAGGGCTAAAATGCTCAGCTAGAAAAAGGTTCAGCTGAATCATTCCAGATACTGTGAGGGTCTATAAAGAAAGGTCAATAAAAATGTAAATCAAAGAGAACCCTGCACAGATGTTTTGTATTTGCAAATGATACTTCAAATAGGTAAATTACTTTTCTCAACATAAAAATCCATAATTTCTTTGTCCTGCATAATTTCTTTGTATCTGCACTGAGAAAACCCACACAGGGCCAGGAAATTGAACTTCTCATTCCAATTCAAAACTAACACCACACATGGGTGTTACATGCTGGTGATTTTAACAATTTTCCCTTTCCTCAAAGGCAAAGAAACAGCATTTTAAAGCAGCCATGGTAATGAGAGGACATAGGTAAGGAAATAATTAGGCAACTCCTAAAAAAGCAGCTTCTGCCTGTCCTATTTTCCTGTTAGTCATGGTCCTGTAAATGGTTGAAACAACAGGACAAAAGCATACTTACTTTCCATCTTTAAAATAGGTTTTCAGAGTATCACTGAAACTTTTGGAGTATTTTACAAACTCTTTCTTTTGGTGCTCAAGTGCCTACAAAAACAAAAACACCAGGAGCAGAGTCTTAGTTCACATATTTCTGGGTACAGTGAGAACCTTGAGGTTTAACTGATCAGAAAATTAATTAATGTTACATCGGGAATAAAAATTTTGGATTTTTTTTTTTCTTTAGAAGAAACAAAGAGGAATAATTATTTTCTCTAGAATTCCTGAGACCTATCATACAACCATTCTGCTGTTAAAGCATGGTTTCATTGACCAGCTAAGCTCTGCTGTTCATCCTTGGATCCAAGGATGCCCCTTGTGCTGCTGTCAGAAATACTGGATGGAGAGCTGGTGCACGTACCCGCCGGTTCTGGTACTGGTATTTCTTGAAGACATTATTTACTGTGTCAAGGAGCTCCTTTATTGCACTTGCAATGTCCCTGTTGGCAAGAAAAAGAGAATTTCAATATCCTCAGGAGATGCCATGAAATGCTGGAATTGAATCCCTTTCTAGCAGTCAAGTATTTCTCAGGGCAGTCCCTACAGAGGAAATGTCAGCCATGATGGAGGAGACCAAACTCAGCAAGTTTGGTCAAGTAACATCCTCATCATTTCTAAGTGGGATCAGGCTCTCTGGCAATGGCAATGCTACAGCTACAGAATTTCAACATTCAGACCTAAATACAGCAAGTTTGACCTCTCCACCTGCAGCAAAATCCATCATATTGTACTTACTTGATTGTCTGAAGAAACCTCACTCTGTCATTGATCTCATCTGGAATCTTACTAAGAATCTGTTTAAGTGCTCGTGCCTTTTCATTCAGATCTTGGAATTCAGGTTCAGGTCTTTCAATCATATACTCTGGCAAAAAGAACATATTCAAAACCACCATTAGTTTGTCCTGAAGTCAGCAGTGACAGCTAAAAACACGACACAAAATGCAGCAGGGTGAATTTGAAGGTGAACAGCACAGAACTGCAGTGAATAACCCCTGTGTGAATCAGGACAGTGCAACAATCACCTTCATTACTGCATGGTGGAAAAAGAGCCCATCTTACTTTATTTGAGACATTAAAGTCATCAAATTCAGTATTAAAATAACTTAAAGCCTGCAGTATATTCTCCTTCTGTGACAGTGTAACTGCTGCTTTTAATTTGAAGTAGAAAAAAAAAAGAGAGGGTGTTATAATCCATATTTGCCTTTTCCTGGTTGTTAGCATTGCAAAAGGTGAACTATGCAGCCATAAAAACATAGCTCTGAACATTCATTTTATTTCTTTCCTTCTCTTATTAGTCAAGTGTGGTGTTCAGGCAGATTTAACTTCTCCAATAGCAGTATTCAAAAATACAAATTTTCTTTTACCATGCTGACAAAATTCCACTAAGAAACAAAGAATCTCTTCTGAAAAATGAAGATATAGAGAATTCCATGTTCTAGTTAGCAGGTAATTAAAAATACAGTTATCCAACACAGGCTTTGTTACCTTCTACATCATCAGCTGCCATACGCAGCAGAGACTCTGTGAAATTCACATCCACGCTTTTCTTCTCCAGAATTTTCATGATGATGTCCTGTGTAAGACCTGGATTTTCTTTTTCAGCCTGTAAAGCAGAGAAATTTTCTATTTTTAAATAAGCCAGACCTGGACATTTCAAACACTAAGATTTTCATGTAAATTGTTTCAGATACTGCAGGAGTTTGCTAGGAACTTTGAATGTCTAAGGGCTTTAGACCAGTAGATTACAATAAAAACATTTTTCCACTACAAAATTCATTTTTCTTGGACTACATCATTGATTTTGTATAAGCAAGTTTCCCAATTAGCCTTACACTCATTTTAATTTGAATAAGAAAGGTTTTAATAAATGTCTCAATCCTGTTATGTTTTCATAAACACCAAGCTTTAAGACACAGATATGGTATCCCCTGGAATTTAATTCACTCCAGCACAGGTGCTGCTCCCCCACCTTCCCATGACATTTATAAATGTGCCCCTCATGAATCACATCATGCTCACACATCAGCTGGGAATTGCTGTTCCAGAAGCAACCCAGCTTTTGATTGATGACATATCTAAGTGCAGAGCTGGATTAACACTGGAGCTGTTCACATCACCTGTGCTGCTACCAGACACTGCTCTGTGTGCAAGATAAATGAGCCTCTGTGGGTTTTTCAGCTGGCACTGCCATTTTTACCATCATCTCAGTTTTACATTATTTGCATCCAGCTGAGCTCCTTCCCACCAATTGTGAAAACACACAGAACCAACCCACACTTGTAGGAGCTCACTTTGAGGCTTCAGCCCATCAAGGCACATTTAGATTTCAGGGCAGGTACAGGGAAATATCCCAGATTTGCACAGCTCAGGTATCTCATGCCTGCCATTACTTTGTTTCAATATTTGAAAAGATCACCACTTCAATAAAGCAATGTAAAGGAATATCTGTATTTTTACTCCTTAGGAATACAATGGAAAAGTCAGAAGAATCTTTTTTGTCCATTTACTGCTGGATTTCTACACAAACACTGAACTTCATCCACAAAAAAATCCCGTTACCACTCACTTTGTAAACCAATTTCAAAGTCTGCTACGTGCCTATTGCTCATGAGAGCCTATTCTACAAATCTTGTGGGTTTTAGACTAAGTTGATTATTTATTCACTGACTGCTCCCTCATTTAAGCTTTTGTTCTATATGGACAAGAGAAAAGTCTGTTTAAAATTGCTCATTCACATTTCTACTCATGACATCTGCAGACATCTCAAACTTCCAGTTCATGCAATTGTCCATTTTATTTTTAGACTACTGGATCAAGGATGAAGTCTCAGATAAAAAGACAAGGAAACAAGAGAGCTGACCTTTTAGCTTCATCTTACACAGCTTACTTTTGAAACAACCATTTTTCAATGCAAGTTACTTCTCACCTTAATAAAAGCTGCTCTCAGTGTCTGAGCTGCAGACAGATTTACTCTTTCTAGCTGCAATAAAAGTTCAGAATTAATGATTAGCATTCTGTTGTTATCAGAACAGAACAAATTCAGTAATCACACCTTGGCCCATAAAGCAGAATGGGAAGGGGGATTGACAGAAGCTTTCAAATTGCTGGTCTTACTTGAGAGATACTATAAAGTTAATCCCAAAGGAAAGAGTTCCCTCCACAAATGAAAACAAAAATCACTGGATGCATTTTGCAGCAAAAGTCCAACAGAAGATTGTGAGAACATCTTGGCAATGTCTGATATTCAGAGGAAAGCAAATATTAAATTACAACCATTAGCAGTAAAATTAAAATGCATCAAGCTGTTCACAGGTTTGACTGTGTGTCATTTCCTGCCAGAGAGTACCAGAGCTGGCATTTTTGTCAAAATCCTGTGTTAAAGGCAAGAGAAAAGCTCAGGACCAAGACAACCAGCAAGCTTTGATGGCAAGAAGGGTGAACCAATGCAGAGAGAGAAGATGTGTTAGACAAAGCCTTCCCAAGATGTTCCTGTGGCCTCATTTCCCAAAATAAAGGGGATTACTGCATTCCATGGTAAACTGGAGCTCACCTCATTAAAGACAGGGTACATAACAGCATAGAGAGGCATGGAAACCATAGAAGTGGTCTCTGCTTCATTCTTCATCTCTTCCATTGTCATCCTCATTCAAAGAGCCACTTCTCAAGGAAAACACTATAGAAGCAAAAAACTCCTCATTCACTGAAATGTCTCTTCTTTCTCCTCGTTGTGCAAGAATACTTGAAGAACTTGGGAAATCTATTGTCCTTAGGGTGTGTGAGAAAAGAGAAAACAAACACACAGTTACAAATCTTGAGAGGGACAGGATCTAAAAATGACAAAGCACAGATCAATGTGAGTTCTACTGTGTGGAAATCAGAGATTTCCTATTACATGACTCAAGTAAACATGGAATGACCACTTGGTGTAACTTCAAAACCCTAACTGAAATCTATTCAATGAATATTTTAAAGAAAAGGTGCTGCTCCAAGTGTTTTTCCCTTCAAGTTCTTATGGAATCAATTCTTATTTACCAAAATCTTGCCACCACTCATAGGCAGCAGCACAAGGTTCCTGACAACTCCCATCCAGGAAAAGCTTGGGCAGCACTCCATGCTGCAGCCCAAGCCCCATCCAGATGCATTTTGAATATTAAAACTACCTATAAATAGGTATATTTATAAATACTCCACCTTGCACATGCATCAGGCTGTGATTCTGCTGGAGATCAGTGCCTGCTTTCCACCCTCTGAATGTGAACATTGCATCTTTGCTTTTATATCAGCTGAAGTCATGTTTCCACTCAGGGTGTGCCACCAGCTACGTTAACTCAATGGAAAATTATTGTTCCAGTAACTGAAGCTCTGGTTTGCAAGTTCTCCACCCAGCCCAGCTCATCATATCCATCACTGCTCAGACCCAGGAATTATGTGGAAAAGAAAAAAGGTCACCTTACAGTTGATAAAAAGCCCTTGTTCGAGCCTGCTGTATTTCCTCTTAATCAGATTATTTTAAAAATATTTTATATGACAAAATTGAGTTTAAAGACCTGAAGTCCAAGTCAGAAATAAAGATAAAAAGAAAGATATTAAAGGTTTTAATTTTTAGATTTGCTTGGAGGATTTAATGCACTAGAGGAGGGATTTTTTTCTCCTAGCAAGCTCCAGACACCTGGCATTTGCATGTCTGTGTAATTCACTGACATTTCAGTAAGAAGTGAAAAGAGTGAAATGGTAAGAAACAGCAGAAACTGCTCCAGCAATCAATATCACTTCTGAGAGTATGAACAGGTTAAGAACATGCCAGGACATTTCTCCAAGCCATATCCCTCATTATGCCCTGCACTGGCTGAAGATCTTCAGGCTGCTCAAACAGAAGAACAGGGATTTTCTGTCCAGAGCAGATCTATAATTGTTTAGCCACAATTACACAAGTGAAATTTGTTACTGATTACAGTCAGCACAGAGAAGAAACTGGATGGCTACAAACCTTGTGCATTTCTCTTTTGGGAACAGTAAAAGCTGAAGAAAAATTCAACATGACTACAGTAAAAACTTTATACAATCTTCTGACATGGACTGCTCACTGCAAAACCTCACTTTGCTCCTCCTGCTGTTCCAGCTCAAAGTGCCACAGATGAGCTGATTCCCCAGCCCCACAAAAGGATTCCTGAGCCTTTAGAAAGGGTCTGGATGGATGAAATGCATATTCTGCAATAATCAGGGGTCTCACACTTTATCACCCACCCCTGGTATTTTACAGCTGTCAGGAACATGGAGGAACACAAGTGAATATTCATCATTCCTCCAAAAGTGGGGTGTTTTCCCAAGAACTTGTTTCAGTTACATAAATTCATGCCAGGTCTGCTCACATGGGGGGAGGGAACTTGTCTGAACAAGTTTGCACTCCCTCCTGCAGGTACAAGCTGTCCCATTTATTATCCATGTGTATTCCCTGCTGGATGGAGATTTGGTTTTTGCTGTTGAATTCCTCCTTTCTGGAGGTTCAGTGAGTGTCCCCTCACACACCTGCACTCACAGATGAATTTACAGCACATTTTCATCTGGAGTCTCAGAGTAAGTTTTTTAAATAGTTAAATCAGGTCACTGAACATTGTTCTACCCAAAAGATTTTTATCACAGGAAGAAGGGCAAAAAAGGACAAAATTGCCATTAGATATAATTACTTTGTTTTTATGGGTTAGCAGTACCCACACACACACAAAAGGAAATACTAAGTGAAATGATGGATTTTTATGATGATGAAAACCTATTACACTGTGAGCTACCATGAAGAACTCATTTTCTCCTGAAGAACCATAAGCTATTGTTACTAATCCATGGTACACTTAAAACCCTCATATAAAAACAATTATACATTATCTATTACCCCTTTTCCAGACACTGACAGTCCTAAAAAAAAAAATTACAACACTTGGATTTATATTAACACAAAGGATACCAATTTTGCAACTGAAGAGGTGGGTTTATATATATGTGCACACAAAAAATATTTAAGAACACCAAATGCTTTGTGGTGCCAAGATATGAAAAGAAATATATTCAATTTATCACACTGCTTGTTCATTATTTCAGAAATCTTCCTGTTTTCCAGAAGATTCACTAGGAAGCATCATAGGACCTGACTGCTAAAATTCTCAAACTATTTATCTTTACAGTTAGGAATCAACTTCACATCTTTTGGATGCAACTTACTCACTTCAGTCTTTGCTAGTGTGAAATAGAAAGAATAATTATCTTCACAAAAACTCTGTGTTCATTGTGTTACTGAAAGTCAGTTTGTCATCATAAACCACATGCAAATACCCTTGAAGGTGGTCTCAATCCTGATTAAGGAGCAAATCCTCATGAAAACTGAAGTTTCTGCTCTAATTAGATCAATTATCAGCCTACTAACCTTGCAAATGGCCTGACTCAAGCCAGTTTAATGCACATTACCAGCAGCAAGGAGGACTTTCAGCATTTCTTTCAGGATGGGATCAAAAGCAGCTCAGCACAGCTGCCAGACTTCCTGACAGTGTCTTGCAACAGCTTAACTTCAGTGCCTCCAATCCCACAAGAGCCTTTTCTTGGAGAGGAGTTTACCCTAGTTTCATCTGTCATCTGCTTTATTTGACATTCTCACAAAAGGGGAAATAAGATTCCATGAGAAGGTGATTTATTAGGGCAGCACAGTGGAGTGGGAGAGGTGAGAAAATCCTGGAAAACTGCAGGATGCAGAAAAGGTGTCACTGTGCTGGCAAAGTTGTTAATTGGTGTGAGGGGGCAGGTGAGGAGAAGGCAGCAGGACAGAGCCAAACACCGAGCTCAGAGTCAGCCTGATCCCCCTCTGTG